AAAGTTACACTTTTTAGTTTTGCGGCAATACAATGCTCTCCTGAGAATGCCTGCATCCTTGCTGTCACCTGAATGTTTACTGGGACAAAAGTAAAATCAGCAGAGGAGTGCATTGCTTCACACAACAGGGGTATAGTTGTGCCAGTACAAATGTTTTTAATAGAGAAAATACTTTGTAACTTAAATCAGATACACACTATTTTACAGTTTGTGATCAGTTAATTGTTTACTTTAAACAGCAAAAGAATCAGTATTTAGTGTAGTACGTGCCTCGCTTTAGCATAAACACAATATTCTTCATTATAAGAATGTACCGTACAACTGTTTTAAGGGTACTTCTTTGTGACAGTATATCTGGGGTGTGACCAGATTTACTCCAAACATTGTAAGAATACAGGGTTTGGGGCCATTTTTGTCCGTTCAGACAGAATGAACTACAGCGCTGTGATAAACTTTATATGTGTTCGAATAAGCATTCGAAGCTGAGTTTCCAGTTTCCAGCGCCTGATACGGGTTGTCTTTGTACACGCTTCATTATAAAACTAGAAGCACTCGGAGAGTGCAAACCTCCGCCAAGACCAATTTCCCCCATCCTGTAAGAGTTAATGCACAAAAGCAGAGATGGAAACACATTTGCCGAATAAGTTCTGACGTAGTAAACATTTAAGCAGCAGTATGCACGGAATGTTTTCTCGGTGGAGTCCAATGTGAAAAAAAAAGGTCAGACTTGTCACCCGACGTTATCCATCGTCAAACTGGTGTCGGATTAAGCTCCTAAGTTTTCATCAGTCACATTTCTCTGTATAAAACGTCTGTTTTATCCCCTTGTATGAGTTTTTAATGGTTTGACTCTCTTTATAAAGTGCTTCCTGGCTCCCCCYGTCTCCAAACTTTGAGGCCCGGCAGCTCTCTGTTTACAAGCCTAGTAGCGAGAAACTGTTTTGATTGGTTGTTTCGGAAATGTGGTATGTTTGAGGAAATGAGAAAAATCGGTGTCATGGTGCAGTCATGCACTTCCTGGTCACAAAACATTCTGTAAATGTGCATATTATGGCAAAAATTATTCATCATTAAATCTGTTTTTAATGTTACTTTTATAAAGTTTGAAGTCCTTGATGTCCAATCCAGCTCACTGTTTTTCACAGAAGCCCTGTGAAAGCATCACAGCTTTGCCGATCTCAGAGTGTTAAAAGAAAAAAAATTCCTGTATCCGCTTCGTGGTCCAGAACATCACCAAAATCCAAAGGTGTGTTCCTTGGCCCAGTACCCACATGTGATAAAAATGTCATGACAATCCATCCACAAGTTTTTGGGTAATATTGTCCACAGACAGACAGACAGACAGACAGACAGACAGACAGACAGACAGACAGACAGACAGACGTATAGACAGACAGACGTATAG